TATAATATTATGTATATAAATGTTTTTTACGAAATGAGTAAAATGAATGAAATTTGTTTGTGCTAAAGTTTATTCATAGTCTTTCAAAAGATACTACTTAAAAAGGCTAATGTAATGTGTAAAACGTACTTTGGCCCTTTTTAGCACCAGCCCTTTTTAGAATATATATATATATATATATACAAGTATGCATAATACGTACATATACTTGAAGACATTATAAGCATCTCATTCGTGTGATTTTATATCCACCGCCTTAGCAATAGCAAAAGCTAGAAATATTAGCCTATTAGCTTACGTCAATTTACGAAATTATATCGTGCTCATATAAAGATTCGTTTCGTAATTAGTATAGGGTTCTTAACAGAAATCAGCCTGGAATAGATCATTATTAATAATAGCTAATATTTATCCCATACGATACGCCCCGGCTTTGCACGGGTTTACTGGTGGATTACTGGTTCTCGTCAACAACACCAGCTACCGGGTCTACATGAGTTTTTAAAGTATCCAGGAACCCACTCAAATACACACAAAAATTAATAAAAATCAAAATTTGATATTTATATTAATTTCACAACCAAATAATGTTATGTAAGTCACTACAAATAAAACAAAATCAATTAAAAATGTTAACAACATAATAATTAAAAAAAAGTATCAAAAAGGTATTTTAACTATAACAATCTCAACATAAATAAAAATAGTTCTGGTTGCAAATTTTAATGTCAAAATATAAAACTAAACATAGAAGTAGAAAAATAATTCAGGCAACAAATAAAATAAAACTATTATCAGTCAGAAAAACAATTTCAGTACAAAAATAACATTAAATAAACAATACACTTGCAATGTTCGTTTAATTTCATTCCACAAACTTAAAATTGTTTTATTAAATTCATTCCCATTCTAAAGAAGTTGAATCCATTCCCATATCAATCAAAGCAAACAAACTATTACAAAGTACCAATAAAATATTTTTATTAAAAACAATAATACAAAAGCGTTAAGACTACAAGGACCAAAAGAACAAGATCCTTGTCGGCCTCGCGTTGTTATACTCTATGAGGGCAATTTAAGCGTGCACAGGCAAACAATAGTATAGAACCTTTAAGAGGTATATTGTGAGTAAACACACTTGAGTACTTTTTTAACTTTATACGACGCTGTACATATTATGATACTTGTATTTTAAGTAAATATTTAGGATGCATGCATGATGCTAATATGATAGCAGAAACTAAACTACCTGCAACATGTACATTTGGAGCATCGGCGTAATGCTAATATATTAGAGCAATTTTAGGTTTATTTTAAATTTATATAGCCAAAAAAGTAATACACACAAATAGAAATTATAGGTTTTCCCCGTCTCGGAATGTATAAAATTCAGAGCCTTCTATATCATTTCTGTCAATGCAATTAAATCTAGGTGCGGTGCTTAACAACAATGTTGCAAATATTTATAAATTAATTTAAATAATCCTAAAATATGTTTATTACATAACTAGTGGGCTATTCAAACGTATAATTAAACACACTTATTAACTAACTAATATTGTTTTCATCATATTTATAATTAATGTCCTAAATTTAATATTTATGGGGAGTTTTTGTATCAAGAACGTCGAGTTGTGTGTAGGAGGTTGACGTCGGTATATCACAATGCGCTCGTGCGTTGTAGTATGAATTGCGTTTTTTGCGTGAAATCGATCAAGATGTGTCCGCTTTTAGTCCTGCCGAAATTATACTGTTATTTACAATAGTACACACTTACAGTTTTCTAACGTTTTTCTTTAAAAATATCAAGTTAGATACTATTTTAAGCATTCCACAAAAAATTAATTATTGTATATTATGAAATTTAAAGCGTTCGATTTTAATACGTATTTAGATAGTAGTAGTTTATTGCAATAGTTTTTTTTAAATACATACTTTTTTTAAAGTGCATAGTATCTTTGAATTAACTGCAACTAGCTGTGGTTTAAAAAAATGTAATTTAATACACCTGGTAGAGCCACGCTGCAGCTATGTTACAGACTAAAGCACGAATAAGCCGGCTCAACTGGGGTTGGATCATCGTGGTTCTAGAGAATACCAGCCTGAAGCAGCAGAATAACGTTGCTGGGTTTCATACGGTGTGTGTAAAGATCTGTAGAACGTTATTTCTAATATCGAAGTATTCCATCTTAGTTCTCAAGGGTGCAAATGCATCCGCACTTTGATTTTCAATCCAGGATAGAGTGCTCGCTTATCAGCGAGACGAAATAGGGTGATGGATCCTGTTAAATCGCCACCTCATGGAGCACTGTCTCCACTGAGTCACTAAATGTAACAAAAATGTAACAGTTAGGCCATTAAATCGAGGGTACGCTAGAATGCACTGTAGGAGTCACGGTGCAATCACACACATAACTGCAAAACCCATGGTTTACACAAACGTTAGCTCTGGCTGGGTCTCGAACTCCGAAATCAGTCGATTCCAAATGTGTAACTAAGTACAAAGAAATGTATAAATATGTATGAGAGGCGGGCACGTCTGTCGACGTCGCTACCGACGTATTCCCGTATTGTGCTCCCGTCATTATACCATCAACTTGTAAAGTAGCAGGCACACCCTTCGAACTATTGTCGCTCCTTCCGAATAATTAGACCAAACAACATTGTTGCGTCGATACTTTGAACGGGCAATAAAGTATACATTTCAAGAGAAAAAATCTCGAGAGCCCGCTCCGAAGGGTCTCTTTGACTGTTAATTTTTGTCATTGTGCACTCTCGTTCCATAATGTTTGTTCTTTTACGAATGTATCGCTAGCGGAGATTGCATAAGGGTTTTGTCGATTGTTTTTTTGCAAATCGGGGTAGCGAGAGTCGTGAGAAATTGCACTTAATTCTTCTACGGCTTATAAATCTACGATAACTTTAATTTAAAAAACGCGTGCTAGGATTTAGCTTAGTTATATTTTCAGCTAATTTTAAATATTAATAAATTTTAAATTTACGATATTTTTATTATAACGACTTTTGCCTAGTGTTCAAAATACTTAATCACGCTCATCATCAAAATCCCATCAATAGAAATACGCGGATCGAAACATATGCAAAAGTAAAATGTAAAGTTTTCAGATCTGGTTTCTCATAATTGACAATCCTGATGCTGCATCCTAACCCAAAGGATCGCGATAACGCCGGTTCGTGCGAAGATTCCTTCCGATAATTGAATATCGTCCAAGAGAACATTACTAGAGTCTAAGAAGAACATAAGCTAGACTGTGATATAACCATCATTTTCATTACGACGTTAGTAGTGCAGTATTGAATTCATTTAACAATTAAATACACTTATTTAATAGAACACGATAGCGTGTAATAGCAATAAAATGATCTCTCTTTTGTATGCTACGAATAAGTAACGGAAAAAGAGACTGTTTTACTAGTATCAAAGTATTCTAAGTTTTTAGGGGTGATAATGCATTTCCATTTTGATTCTTAATTGTGGATGGATATAGGTGTCCTCCACTTAAAGGTGGACAGTGTGCTCATTGGTCACCCTTAGCCCTATAGAAAAAAGCAGTTAACCGGAAATAAAAAATAGAATAAAAAATAAAGTTTATCTATGAGAATCACACATTTATTTATGGAACCCTAGGATAGTAAAAGTATTCGAAAAAAATTAATTGTGCAGTCTCAAAGTTCTATCATTCTATACATTCAGAATATGTAGATACTATTTATTATTGGATTATAATTATAACTAAAGATAACGCGATGTTATTATCGCTAAATGTAACTCTCCCGGGACGATTGCGTTGGGTGTTATGACACATTAAATGGTGTTAGGGGGCGCAGCCGACGAACCGGGTTATCCGTCACCAAGATACTGCCGATTCATCCTGAGGGAACATCTCCCTAAGGACACCGTTATTATATACGACGACTATAGTAGACAGTTTTAATGCCCTCTAAATTTTATCTTTTTAGTGAAACAGAGATGGATGTAACATGATTTTTGATGAACGCTTATCTAAAATCTTCAGCAAAGTAAAAAATGAATTCATGAACATAATCAGAGCATCGATATGAAATGTAATGATTATGCTCATAAAAATGAGTAGCTTTATGTTAACGACATAGTAAACCGATAATAAGACTTCATTAAATTATTTTCAATAAATGTAAACTGTAACTAAAAATGGTTGTGTCATTATATTTTTTTATTGATTTATTTATTATCTTTTTGTATTATAATCGTTATTCCATTAAGTTTATGTAAGTTTCTCATGTCTTTGTTCTTAAATTTAAAAGAAGTTTTATTGAAGTAGGTTCTTCGTCTATGTACGAGTTGATATAGTACTTTATCACGCACGAAATAAAGGACATTGAGAATATAGTTTAAGTTTAAAGGTAAAATACCTAATCATACCGTATTCATATACCGTAAAGTGCATTTTATACATGTAAGTGTATCAAACGAGCTGTAATATGGCAAGTGAATGCCGTGGCCCATAGATATGAACATTAATCCTCGATTAAAAATGTAAAATGCAAAGACTTTGTCGCCCATTAAGGCTGACATCTAAAATGGAATTTCCCATTACCTACTAATTAATTGGGCTCCAGTTCTCATCATATACTATATGAAACATGCTGCTAGCATTAAACTGCTATTTTACACTGGTATTCTGTGAGAGCGTAGTCGTTCTCGGTTGAACCGACCCATTCGTGATGCATTCACAATATAGCTGCAGCGCGATTCTACCACGTGTAAAACCTAAACTTTATACATTCACTTTGACGTTTGTTTAGTACATAAGTTAATACAGTTAAAAGCAACTATTCACATAATATAACTGTAATATTAAATACCTTAACACATTATTGTTTAAACACCTTTTACTTTGCTTCGGATAAAACAGATATCTACCGGTTGCCATTTAGCAAACTATCTGATATTTAGTAGCTTTCGACAGCGTTTATTAGGTTGTACTTAAGTTACTCACGTTGTGCAGTTTGTAGTAGAGGCCGCAGGCGTTGCAGACCGGCTCGCCATTCTGATTGCGTCGCCATAGAGTGGTGGTGGTAGTCTTGCAGTTGGCGCACGAGGTGCCAGCCCGCCGTGCCGCGCTCTGCAGTGACTGCAAAAAAATATATTAAATGAATAAGTTTACAGAGTCACAACACAGTTTATATAAATATTATACGAAACATTGTAGACAAAAATACTTTTTATTTTCACTAATAAGTCGTTTATATCTTTAAAAATATCTTGTTTTTTTTTTTCATTAAAGTAATACCAATTTTAGAATTGCATTTTAAATAAATATTTTTTAAACGGCTTTAAATAAGTTTTTTGTCAAAGTACAGCGTTGTTAATGATAATACCTACTTAGTAGGTACTGTTGGTTCAGTAAGCAACAGTATTATCATGCTCTTTTCATAACTTATAAATGTGGCAGATAACATATTCATTATTGTTTCTTTTGCAAAGGTAAAGGATATTATGCACGCGGAATAAACGTTACCTTTTGTTTCACATAGATGGCACTACTTATATCCTTTGAGGCACAGCTTTTAGGAAAGTAAACACTACTTGCTGTCAAAATGAGTTTGATAGCTGGTTTTTTTAATGAAAATAATAAATTTGTTTAACATTTGAGAAAAGTTTTTAATGTTTTTTTTTAAATAGGTGTTTTGGTATAGTTTATTACAAAACGAGCTATGTGATTTAATGGCATGTTTCCCGAAAATATTCAAATTATTTTTGATCAAGAACATTTTTAACGAGTACACTAGATAGATACCTACCGAAAAGTTATTCTGCCTTTGCTCGGTTTAAACTAATTTGTCATTAATTTTCAATCAAAAATTGTGGAAAAAACAAAGAACTCAATCGACACATGAACTTCATCAACATTTGTAAAACAATCACGTTACAACAAAACTGAATCGGCAAAACGATGCGACCAACAAAAAGTGAACACCGGGGACGCGGGGTGAAAAAGCGAAGTAGCTATCGTCGGGCCCTCTTACGCACCTGCCCATTACTACCCGTCAATCAAACAAAAAACATTCCAGGCATGCGGTGGCCGTTTCATACAGTCCACAAAAGTGCCTCACTCAATTAAAAATGCATTCGTCCTAACCCGACACGAGAACAAAAAGAGAAGCGCGCAATCCCGCTCGTAATAAATCCATTAATTTGTCATGTCATATCGAGCCGGAGAATAGTATTGAGTTCGCAAAAATATTAGGTGAACTATCCGGTAAGATTATGTTCGACTCTTAGCAACTAGAACGAATGCTGGTAAAGATTATCGTGGTCGCATCGACGCATTATCACTCTTAACATCACAAGTGACTCGGCGATGTCGGCCAGCGGTGTATCGTCAGGCACGAGCTTGTTTGATAATAATAACAACGTCGCTGTAGGCGCACATTTATATTTAAAGTTTACTAACCATGAAAAATCTAAACTATAGTAAAAAAAGTAAAGTAAAGTTACAGCCTATATACGTCCCACTGCTGGGCACAGGCCTCCTCTCATTTCTGAGAGGGTTTTAGGGCAAGGAAGTGTCCGCCGCGCTGCCTCAATGCGAATTGGCGAACTTTACATCATGTCTTCGAAATATTTTTTTTGTTATTCCTCAGACATGCAGGTTACCTCACGATGTTTTCCTTCACCGCCGAGCACGTGGTAAATCAGCACTTAAAATTGCAATTATCAATTTCGTTGGTGCCGGCGGGGATCGAACCCGGGTTACACCCGTTCTGTTATATTTACAGCAAGCGTTAACCATCTGAGCTACCACGGCTCTTAAACTATAGTAGTACCACAGAATATGTTTAAGTAGGATCGTCGAGCTACAAGTATATGGCCGGCTTATTGCCACTTATGCATGCTGACCCGTTAGATTACATCGAGTACCTACCTATCCCAGTTCTGATATCGGATAACTACATCACAAAATCTTTCACGCAGAGAAATTCAATGGTCTCAGGTGGCTCAGGTCTATACTGAGCGGTTGTTTTTAATGATGAATATGATATCTTATCATTGTTTTATATTTCAAAATATATTTTTTTTAATTAAAACATTAACCCTACACTAGGATTTTCTCCTGTATCGTGGGGGCAGTTTACAAACATAAATTGCACAAGGACCAACATCCAGACCCGGAACAATTATTTGCAGGCCATACTTGTTCCGTGCGGGATTATAACCCGTGACCCCCAGCGCAGCCACTCATTGCTAAGCCACTGCGCCACGGAGTCGTCATATTTATTTAAAACAATATAAAATTATTTAATAAAACATAAAACATAAACAAAAACACACAACACGCCTGTCACCCAGAGGGTAGGCAGAGACTACAGACTTCCATTTGGCACGATCCTGACACACCTCTCTCGCCTCCTTCACATCCATATACCTACGCATACTCATGCTCGTCGGTTAAGGGTACTCCTAATTTGGCCCGTTTTCAATAAATCGCCAATTTGGTCGATAAATTTTCGCCTAGGACGTCCCTTTCCGACTCTGGCATTCACTTCTGCAACATAAATTTTCTTTGAAAGAATGAAAGGAAATTATTTAATATGTTCGTTTAAATCATGGTGTACTCATCTGTACGTCTGCATATTGAAATACCTAAATATTAAATGGTTTACGTCAATATTCGCCGCGTCATGGCATCTCCTTTGTGCCAGAACGAGATTAAAGCTCGCCATATTAGCCCAGCCAACGGGCAACACTTTTTCTCTCTGTCATGGGACCGCCTCAACTTGAGCTCCATTGCTAAAGGATTCCATTTTATTTTATGTATAAAATTTAACCACAACGTGTTATGCCGGCATCGTTTAGTACATCTTTTTTCCAATTACAATAATATGTTACCATAATAAATAAGCATGAGGACACGCAGCGATTAATCCGAATGCAATCTAAACCAAGGTCCGAATTTTATGAGTCAATTACCCGAAACCAATTTTATAATCTGCAGATAAGATTTTCTCATCAAGCTTCAACAGGCGCTGTATCACACTAGTGCCCCGAGGGAGACCAGCGCCTAAATCGAGGGGTTCGAGCTAAGCCGATTACAGAAGTCAACCATCAGTAGGGGCGCTTTTATTTCCATGGAAAAAACGAATGTTTACTCGTAATTTTATGAGCGAATTACTTTCGCTTTTCAAACACTAAAATGGCTTGAAAAAGTCGTAAATTTTACTAGCGAAATATTTTTTATTTGGGCCGCTCATTACACTGTACCTACTCAAGTTTAGTGAAAGCTTTGCTTTGTAATATATATATATTGGTGCGGTTTCCTTAAATTCCAATACGCAACGTAGAATGCAGATGTGGACACTTGTCCCGAACACCAAAGAGTTTTATTAATTGTAAAACCCATTTCACTGTCAACGGCATTCCGCCGCGATCGATATCGAAGCGGCTCCAAAGCGTATATCAAACAGAAAGTATGCCGGCGGAGATAAAAAGCCCAAATACACAAACAAATAGACAAATTCAGTACATATTGTTATCGTAGTACTTTAATTTTCAGTGTAGTGTAAACTCAAAAGAAAAGGCGCTGTGACGACATCAAGAGCTCGTATTGTGTTTTGACAGGAACAAAAACGATCCTTTTGTTGTGAGATTGGACGAAGTTTAGCGATGATAATAGCGCATAATGCTGTCCATAGAAGTGGACAGTTTAGGGCTTTCTTCTATAATTCTCTTCCAAAGTTGTTCTAAATCCGTTAATAATGCTAATGCTATTATTAATAATGATGCTAATGATACTATTGCTATTGACAACAGGGCAAAACCAACAAAAACAACGAAAAGGCCGCCAAAAAATGTACGAAAATATGCGTGAAATTACAATAGCTACAGTTGATTTAACCTTGTTGGTACTACAAAATAAAACATAATAAATATTGGTAAATTCATTAACGCAAACTGTTTATATTCAAAACAAGCTTAAAAGGATTAATCTCACTTCAAGGCGCACAAAGTCGACTAATTCAATAAGCCACCCGCATTAAAAACATATTTCCATAAAGTACGAGCCCTCCCAACCTCCACGCGATCCAATCAGCCTTATCTCTCCCGACCCTAATGCAAACACCTCCTAATCAAATCAAATCACAGCATCCGTCTTCCCTAATCTATCCACCTATCTACACTCAAACATAAAATTATATTACAAAAAGGGATGGTTACCTACAACCCCTCATATATTTGCAAGCACAAGCTAAATTTAACCCATCGGAAGCGTCGCTCTATACTACATGCCAGTATAACTTCGTAGTCGGAAAATACACCTATTCGCTGACACATACAAACATTGCACAGTAGCATTATAGCACACACATACACACAACGACGCGTATCAGCATATCTACGCCATCTAGATCCCACTATGAGAACCCCCAAGAGGGAGGCAATCCATTTACCAGCGATCTTTGCGCATTGAAATATCCTTCTTATCCGATGGCATTACAGATGACAATCGACCAGCAGTACTGTTTTTAAAGGTTTACACGGCCCCTAGCAGTGAAAGCGCGGAATCGATGTAGCCTTTACCCCTCACCTCGCGCCAGTTTTTCCGGCGCTCTGTCTTTATCTGACCGGAGCGATTAGATAAAGAGAGATATAGCGTGAAAATAAAGATTTTCATCGTGTTCACTCACACCACGCAAGTTTGAACTGTGTCTAAAGCAATACAGCGGTTGTATAGTGTCTGTTATGTAAGTATAAACGGTATGTACACAAAGCCTCTTATAATAGAGCAGGGGTCGAAAGAACTTTGACGATGTCAACGAGACGGCTCCTTGCTACACTTAGTTTTATTTATTAATTTACGAATAAATAACTGCACTGAAAAACTTAAAATAAATCCTTTAAAATGTTTCACAGCAAAATAGAAAGTGAGACAGACAAAATGTGTCGAAACAAATTTAATTGATTATATATGATGAGAAAACGTGTCTCGTAATGCTATGAAGTTTTTACAAGAAGGTTCAAGTTGGCGGTTTTAGGCTCGAACCATTCATTGGACGTAGCGGGAATGCCATATTGGGAAATCCACTTAACGATGTTTTATTTAAGCGCAATATAAACCGATCTCTAATGAAA